ACAAAATTTCTTCACTGCATAGCCGAAAATTCTCCACCGCAAGATCTGAGGATTTTTTTTTTATATATATATATATATAATAAAGGTATTATTAAATGAGTTTCTATATTAATCAAGGTTAAATCATTATATTTTATATAATTTTAAAGATATATTTTTTACATTAAATTAATGTAAAATATTTTAATAAATTATCATAAATCCTAACTTCAAAATTATTCATCTAATTTTGAACAACAACAATTTTATTATTATTTTATTGAGCATAGTGGGGTTCTTGAAGAGCATTTGACTACTTCAATTAGTGATCGGCTGTCCAACTGTGTGTTTAGTGTTACAGTGAAATATGTTTTTCAAAAATATTTTTTGTTTTGAAATATATTAAAATAATTTTTTAATTTTTTATATTAACATGTTAAAATCATTAAAAAATACTATTTTTATTTTTTAAAACTTCAATGCATTTTGAAACATATATAAACACAATTAAAAATGCAAAACCAACAATTCATATTAAATATCTATTTAGTTTTGAGGTTGTACTCATGGTCTAGCCGATTTTTCAAACGGATGATGTTATTAATATTTTTTTCATGTAAAAAAAGTCAATATTTTTAGTATTTCACTTTGTAATTTAACTAGGTATATATCGCATGTAATGATGGTAAATTAAAACATATTTTTTAATATATATATATATGTTTGTGAACTGCTTTACTGGTGTTTATGGTTTAAAGATATCAAGAAGTGAGATCTAATAAAATATATAGATAACTAAATTAGATCATATCTAACTAATGTTACATATCATCTAATAAAATATGTTAGATAACTAAAGAAATCGATATTTAATAATGTGTTTTATACTATACTATAATAATAATTATTTTTTAAAATGTTTTTTTCAAAATATATTAAAATAATAATAAAAAATTAATTTATTCAACATCAATACATTAAAAATTTAAAAATACTAAACAAAAAATTACAACTGAATATCCACTAGCATGGTCAATCACTTAACCACGATACCAAATTATTGTCTAAAATGAAAATACAACGATGATCCTTCCTCCAGCTAAATATTTTGATGGTATCTTATCCATTTCTTTTAATATTTAAATTAAAATTATATTTGATAAATATTTCAGGACATAAAGTATAAATACAGAAATAATATAAATATATTTAATTAGAGAGATGGAGATAATTTTAAAGTTAATTTTTATCTTTTTAAAAACTAAAAAATTATTTTTTTATATATATTTTTCAGGACGTGTTTGACATTATGTTTTGAAAATATTTTTTAAATATAAAATATTTTTAAAAATAATCCAAATACATTTTCTCATGTCCGAAACACCGAGAAAACGTTACAGAAGAGAACAATAACAAAAAGTTTTAATGTTTCTAAATTTAGGCTCACATTTTTCTCAAAAAGTACTAAAATCTTAGTAGCTGAAATCTCCGGACCACTATTAATGTTAGTTTATTACACACATAAGTTAAAAATATAAAAAGAAAAGCAGTAGCTCTGTCTGCCTGTCTCTAGCTAACACCTCTCTGGTTTTACGCCGGTTGGCAGCTTAAAGCCTTAAACCGCTCAGCTCTTCCTTTATTTATGTCCACCTGCGATTGCTGTCGACACCTCCTCCTCTTCCCTTCTCTTTCTGTGTTTTCTCCATATAGAGACACCACCAAATCACAGAAACTGGGTTGTTGCATGCATTGTATTTCTAGCCCCAGCTATCTGGAGCTCATCAAACTTTAGTTTAAACGATCTCTTGATGAAAACCAAAAAATAAAGATAAAACGATAGAGTTTAAAGCACTTTCTTTTTAGTAGGTATTTTGCTTAGCTAGTAGCTTCGTGACTATCGTCCTTCAGACATGGGATGTGGGTGTTTTTGAGCAAGTAACAGTTACGAGGTAAATTTTCGGTTTTGGTTTTTCTTAGGGTAAAGTTGTTTTCTTTTTGTTTGTTTCCTGAGAAAAAAATGTTTTTTATGTGGAGTTTGTTTGAGTTTTAAAGGGATTACTATTTGTTTTGCTTTTCAAACCAGAAAGAAGAGAGAGAGAAGGAAATTAATAATGGCACCAGCTACTAACTGGCTTTCTTTTTCACTCTCTCCAATTGAAATGTTGAGGTCATCTGAATCTCAGTTCATGTCTTATGAAAGCTCCTCTTCTGCCTCTCCTCACTACTTGTTCGATAACTTCTATGCTGATGGTACGTATAACCCTTTTCCTTTTTCTTCCTTGTACATATTTGTTTATCTTTTAAAGTTCATCCATATACAGATATCATAACGAGGAAATGTTCAACTTGTGTTTGGTTGCTGGGAAAGTGCAGAGGGATAAGAGAGATTCACTCCATAACTGATTATCTCTTGTTTCCTTGTATATGCTGTGTTGTAGTCTGCTATTTACGTTTAAGCTCACTTCTGCACTCAACAAGAATGTGTGTGAATTGATACTGTTCCATCTTTAATTTTGTAGGTTTTTTCTGCTTGGTTAAAAAGCATACGATTAGAAATATGGGGAGGAAGAAGTTTTCATTTTTGTTTGTTTATGAGTTAGCTACTAGTTTAGTTGTAGTTGCACATGTATATTTTTTTAGCAAGTCCCAAGAGGCCGTCCTTGTGTATAGTTAGAGCTTGATGAAGATTACTATTGTTTACTGCGTAGGCTGGGCAAACCCCAAAGAATCACAAGTCACGACCACAACAATGGCGGAGAGCTCTAATATTCTGACAAGCTTTATAGGCCCAGAATCTCAACACCAGCAAGTCCCAAAACTGGAGGATTTTCTTGGAGACTCTTCATCATCTATTAATATTCGATATTCGGATAATAGCCAGACAGAGACCCAAGACTCGTCCCTGACCCACATCTATGATCATCAGGGCTCTGCAGCCGCTTACTTCAACGAGCAACAAGATCTTAAAGCAATTGCTGGGTTCCAAGCTTTTTCGACTAACTCAGGCTCAGAGGTTGATGACTCGGCTTCAATAGCTCCCACACAGCTTGGTGGTATTGAGTCGACTGGGAACGAGTTGGGGTTCTCTAATAATGCGGCCTTGTCACTTAGGGTGAATAATGATACTAGCAATAATCAGGGTGGCTCTACAGAGAAGCTTGCTATTGCTTCTGCTGACAACGATTGCTCTAAAAAGATTGCTGACACCTTTGGTCAGCGAACTTCTATTTACAGAGGAGTTACCAGGTAATTAACAATGAAATTTCAGCATTAATCTCTTTTCGTTCATTGATTATTATTTTTTTCTTTCTTTGAAGCATTAAGATGCTTTTCTTTCAATCGTTAATGTGAGAAATATTTTTTTGGTTTTCCTGCTGTTGCAGACATCGATGGACAGGCAGATATGAAGCGCATCTATGGGATAACAGCTGTAGGAGAGAGGGTCAGGCTAGAAAAGGGCGTCAAGGTCATCTCCCTCCCTACCTCTCTCTCTCTATATATATGTGTATATGTGTGTGCGTGTATCGGTACCTGTAAAGGGCCTGGGTTTTATACCATGAATCAGGAGTTGAAGTGAAGTGAAAAGAAACTTGGACTGCATCCATTCGGATTTCAAGGGGGAGCCACACCCGTTTTCCTTAGTTTACTGGGTGTGGACCACAATCTGATGGATAGACTGAGGGTTTGATATATTTATATATATATAATGGAAGGAAAATGTTCAAACTGTTACTTTTGTTTCTTTTTATCAATTATGTGATTGATTTGATCAGATGTGCCGCCATTTTGTTAATTTTTGGACTTTCTCTTTCTTCTCTCATCTGGGTCCCCTAGCCGCTGCAAGGTTAGGTTTGTTTGACACGACCCACGTCCACATACTCACCATGCCTCGGGCGTTATACACATCAATATGCCTTGCAGCTGCCTTTTTTTTCTTACTTTTGCTTTCTTTTCTTTTCTTTTTCACAGCTACCTGCACAGCAAGTAGCAGCTCAGTGTCTAGTTTTGACTAGACCACCAGAATTTCTCAACTTGAAATATATCATCATTTTCTTTTCAATGAAAATTTTGGCCGCTTTCACTTTTTAGTAAAGCTGGTGTCTGGTATCACGGCCTATCCATTCATTCACAATCACACAGTGGGAGTGCCTTGGGAAAAATGTTGGGTCAGGCATTTTTATTTTGGATTTCAAGTAATTAGAAATTGTAGTTCGAAGTTAACCCTTTTGGGGTTTTGATTCTTGGAGCGTGTTCAAATTCAGAGTTGGACTTATTCTACATGAAGAAAGTATAACATACACTTGATAAACAACGAACTACTAGTAGCTAGCTAGACCATTAATAAAATCTTAATGTAGAACAGTAACGATCCCTTTCTGCAGAGACAGTCACATGCAGAGACATGCTTCTTGCTTTATTTAATTGTTTCTTGCGTGGATGAAGAAGCTCACGCTGAAACTTTTGACTATGCTTGGTTTCCCACGTTAAAATTCTTTCCTTGAACTTTTTTTTTTCTCCTCTTGCATGAACTGTGGAATCCTGCTATGTCGCTGCCACTATACCCGAACCTTTCGATATGTTCTCTACAGTATACTTAGGTAAGCTAATTAACTCCTCTCTAATTTATTTTCATCTTCAAGCCGCTGTTTTCTAGCACTCATTTATACGGTTTCAGAAATAACAGGCATAGTGATTGCTGTACGTTATTCTTTTAATTTATCAGGTGGGTATGATAAGGAAGAAAAGGCAGCAAGAGCTTATGACTTGGCAGCTCTAAAATACTGGGGTCCAACTGCAACCACCAATTGCCCTGTAATGCTTATGCTTTCTATTTATTGATTCATTCTCCTCGGCCGGAGAATATACATAGACTGTAGGGTAAACTTGTTTAGTTATTAGCAAATTGACATGTCTGTGGCTGGCAGGTTTCGAATTATACTAAAGAACTGGAGGATATGAAGTACGTGTCCAAGCAAGAATTCATTGCCTCATTGAGGAGGTATGCCAAAATCCAACCCTGGTTTCTTCCTTCTTCTTTTTGATGTACCTGCAGATTGTCAACAAAAATTATCCTTGTTTTTGCAGGAGTAGTAGTGGTTTTTCACGTGGAGCCTCTATTTACAGGGGTGTCACAAGGTTTCAGTCTAATAGAAAATTCTTTTTCTTGATCTCATAATGCTAGCTTGCATCATATACAAGCCAGCGGCAGCATCTGCTTATATATCATATATGTTTTGCAGGCATCATCAACAGGGTCGTTGGCAAGCAAGGATAGGCCGTGTAGCTGGAAACAAGGATCTCTACCTTGGAACATTTGGTGAGGGTTAATTCTTCTCCCAAGTAAATTGATGGTCATCATACTCTTGTTTCAAAATTTTCAGCATGAGTTTATTGTAATTGATCATAAGCATGAGCAAGATTCTTTGCTCCCTACTGCTCGCAGAAACAATTGATTGCATACACAATTATTGTATTATATTTAATGTAGTCTACGAAGTATCTTTTTGCATTTCCACAAGGGCAGAAACATGAACGTATCTGATTTTCTAAACCTAGTTAACTCTATGCTGTCAATATGCTTTGTTAACTATGAGATTGTATGGTAAGAAAGTTTTTTCCTGAATTAATATGAGTCACCTGATCTTTCAAATGGCAACAGCCACAGAAGAGGAAGCAGCTGAGGCGTATGATATAGCTGCCATAAAGTTTAGGGGTCTTAATGCTGTGACTAATTTCGAGATGAACCGATATAATGTTGAAGCTATCATGAAGAGTGCTCTTCCAGTTGGTGGAGCAGCGAAGCGCTTAAAGACATCACTAGATGCCGAGCATAAACCAAATGTAAGCGACAACCACCAGCCCCAGCCGCGGTGCAACAGCTATAGCACCAACAACAACATCAGTTTTGCTGCTATCCAGCCAGCTTCTACTGCAGCCCCATGTGGTATTACATTTGATGCTTCCACGGCGCTTTATCATCACAACCTCGTCCACCACCTCCAAACCACCAACAACTTCGCAGCAAGTGACTCCTCCGGTCCCACCTCATCCATGGCAACTGCAATGACTACTTTGCCGCAAACAGCTGAGTATTTTGCATGGCCTCACCAAACTTATTGACCAAATCGCAGTTTTGACATCAGGAATTCAGCTAACATGCTGTAGCAACAAACCTTCACTTCTAGGTGGAGCTTCTAGCTATAGCTTGCTAGCTGAAAACTTTAGCTGACCCACCTTACCCTAATGTTTACTTCAACTTTTGGTGCTGGACTGGTAAAGGTATAGGAGGTTTTTTTTTTGGTTTAATATAGTACTAGTTATGGCAGGATGCTGGATTTTGTATGCGACTGTTTTAAGTGGGTGTTAGATAAGACCTGTTTCATTAATGATGAAGGAGATCCATCTGGTTGTGGGAAGGTTTTGAATATTCTCCAACTTTACGAGCTCCCGCTCCCGCCGCCGCTCATTTATGTTGTTTTGTTGTCGTTCTAAATGCCCATATCACTTCAGGAGGTTGTCTCTTTTAACACTCGGAATTTTTTGGCAGCCCTTTGTTTGTGGCCTCAGCTTGGTCATTGACTTGTACTGTTAGTCTAAAGTCAAATCTTCAACCTTAACCATAGAATCCTTCGAGCCCTGTTATGTCAAACTGACGACCGTCATTGGCTATCACTGTCAATGGGACGCCAAACTTGCAATTTATGCGTTAATATAGTGTGTTAGTAAATATATTAAAAAATTATTTTATTTTTTAAAAAAATATAGTTTTAACCGAGTTTATAAATAGATGTATGTGTTTATAAATATATGTATGCTAGATGTTGTGTCATTATATAAAGATGTTAATTTTTAAAAAAAATAAATATTTTTTTTAAATTAAAAGTAGATTTTAAAATTTTTAATTAATTTGATTAACAAAATAAAATTTAATAGTAATTTAATATCGGAATCTATGATTAACTTTGTGAAAACTTTATATATGACCAATTAAAATAAAATATCAATATGATTTTAAATTAATTTAATATGAAAGTAAAGTTAGGTGAAAAACAACTTAAAAAAATACAGTAGGTAACCATTGTAAACAATAACAATTGTATTTTTTTCGTGTTGTATTACCGCAAGTTTTAATTATTTTAAATATCATTTAATTATATAATGAGAGTTGATTTTACAAATCAAAATATATTTGTTAAGAAAAAAATCAAAATGATCCAATAAAAAAGAGTTGGCAGGAAAAATAAAGATTTGAGATAATGAAAAAAAAAAGATAAAAGAAAAGCCTTGAGTTGAAAATAATTTTCATACATATCCTTAAATGTATATTTTGGGAAATGTTTTCAGGAAATTAATTGAAAAACTATCTATAATTTCTTGAAGATGGTTCCACAAATTCCTTCGTAAGCCTGTTGAGTATCTTCTCATTCGCTAAATTCAGATGAGAGTACAGAATTTACGTAATGCTAGGCTGGTGGGATATTAAATGGTTTTCGTTATACATACATACATACATACATACATACATACATACATACATACATACATACATACATACATACATACATACATACATACATACATACATACATACATACATACGGGCTTGTTTCTCTTTCGAGGGAGCCATTATCCTTAACATTCACTAAGCCTTGTATATATTGGTCGAGTGACGTTGCCAATCTTACAGCCACGAGAGCAAGCAATGAATAATAAGGAATCGAAAAGAATATGTTTGTGTCGAAATCATGTTTTTTAAAAGTTTAATTTATTTTAAATTGATTATTTTGATGTTAAAAGTAATTTTTTCAAATTAATAATAAACTATTATTTTAATATATTTTTGAGTAAAAATTATTTTAAACCATAATCTGAAGCATTTCTAGAATTATAAATAAATAAATCAAATTAGAATTTTCAAGAATCCCTTGAATCCGTCATGGATACCTTGTTTCTAATCAAAGATAGTGTTTAATTATTATTATCAGAACGAAAAAAAAATAAAATAAAAAATTTAATGTTATATCTCCATGTATTTTATATTTTAAAGGTATAGATTTTTATTTTTTTTTAGCATATAAATAGGTACGGGAAGTGGTTATTATTTCTAGGCCTCCATAAACTCATGCCAAACACGAAGCATCCATTTGGGATTTAATTAGAACCTGTACAGAGAGAGTACGAAGTGAAAATATTGATTTTTTCACTCACACAAAGAAGGGCATTTAGACATTTGCCTTCGCATAGAACAGCCGAGAATCGGCGGCAGCACAAGTAACAATGGCTTGAAAGTTACTAAACCAGCATCACTCCATCACAAGTTGCAGATGACGATTGAGATCTTTGAGGTAAGTAGTGCAAGTATAATCTTGCAGGTCACAGCCATCCAGAAGGACCGCCCTCCCTGCATTCGTCTTCTGCTTGAACTCCACGGGTGCTTCCTCGCCCCTCAAGAGCTGCACCACCTGAACTTTCCGATATTTGTTTCAGAAACATGTATAAATCTTGGAGGGGTCTAGTGTAGGAACTTCTCTTCTCACATGGATGTAAGTAAAGGAAGTGTAGAATAATATTTCTAGCTAATTCCTAAATTTTGTATGATTACACACACACACACACTATGTATGTATATATATAAGACTGGATTTATAAAACTGGATATAAAGCAGATTTCATACTCTGATATACACACACTCACACACACACACATATTATGTATGTATATATGTAAGACTGGATATAAAGCAGATTTCATACTCTGATCATTTGCGGACGTGTATTGGGCAAGTGGTGAATGCACATCAAAGCCGTAAACATGGCATGCTTCATTTCAATGGGATCATAATCATCTCCCAGCCTGGGATCAGCTAGTTCTTTAGCATTATTTGCCTCCAACAATGGTTTTGCCTGTGCATAAAATACACATTTATACATGTTGTCAAAGCTTTCTTGAAAATACTAGTGGTTTTAACAGTTCTGTGATAGAAAATATATGAAGTCAAGGCAAAATGATTAGAAATGGTCATAAAAAACTGCCAGTGCAAGGATAATTTGACACGGGGATATATATATTAAACACAAGGGACTCTGCATGAGTGGATCTTACCCACATCACAAGGCTCTGTCTACTTGAATCAACAGCACGGCGACCTGTTATGATCTCAAGTAACAGAACCCCATAAGCAAACACATCGGTCTTCTCATCAACAATCCCATGCATAAAGTATTCAGGAGCCAAGTATCTGAAATTTAGTTTTCTAGTTTAAAAGGACAGAATATATGTATGTATATTAAACTTAATTTGTGAAATGGATTAGAATGCTGGCAATAAATTAATGGAGTGGTTGCAAACGCCTCACCCGAATGTGCCTTCGATAGGGAAGACAATATGGTGAATCCAGTTTTCTGGAAGCCACTTTGCCAATCCAAAATCAGAAATCTGAGGAACAAACCAAATCATTCCCTACAAGAAAAGATGGAGATGGAATTACAATAAATGCTGAATTGAAAATGCACCTGAGCTTCAAAATTTGCGTTGAGCAATATGTTCGAGGCCTTGATGTCTCTATGGATAATGCGCCTTGGGCAATCATGATGGAGATACTGAAGTCCTTCTGCTATTCCTAAAGCCACCTTAAACCTTTTCTTCCATTCTAGACAATCTGATCCACCTGAAATGCTGAATCTCTCCTTATAAGAATGCGATAATTAAAATTAGATGCTAGTAAATCCAGCAACTTGATGGTCACAAATGCACAGAATTTTGTTAAGAATAGAGTCAGAGACGGCACCGTGGAGCACTGACGCAAGGCTGCCATGTGGTAAAAATTCAAGGACAAGATGCAGACCACTATCAATGCTGAAACCAAGCAATCTAGCTGCATTTGGGTGATTTATATGTGCAATAATCCCAAGCTCTGATAAGAAATCACCAACTCTGTCCTCTTCCTGCTTCTCAGTTTTCATGAGCTTCTTTACAGCGACAACCTGACCGTCAGATAAGCATCCCTTGTACACTTTTGCATGACCTCCTTCCCCGATCAAATTCTCTGTGAATATTTGATGGATAATTAGAATCTTAAGAATTATTCAATGATGTTGATTTCGATATCAAGAAATCCCCTGCATACAGACTCCGATCCTATATGCATCAAGATTTTTACTAACATTTTTAAGTTGCTGGCAAGCTATAAATGATTCACAATCCTTTCCAGGATCTGATGATTTTTAAACCTGAAATTTAGACTTATGATTCATCAACTAGTCATTTACACAACGTCAATGTTCATCAACGTGGATTTGGACACGTAAAAATCAGCTTAATGTGTCAATCACTACTGGATTTATTTCTTAAATTTCTAAGTTCCTAAACTGGGATGGTCTGCAACTAATAAGAAAAGCTGTAGAAAACATCTGCGAGCTATATTCATATGTGCGTGGCCATCCAAAACTCCCTCCCAGCCAGCCTCCCTAAAACGCTGACTCTTATTGCCGTAGTCATCTAGTATATTGTAAAGAAAGTAATTGGCTGCCTTGATTTTAATGCTAGGTGAAAGGTCAAGAAGTTCGGTCCCACCATCATTTTCCTCAGCCACAGGCGTTATTGACTGTTCGAGGTTGGAGGCTATCTCGTTCAAAAATTCGAACGTGTAAACCATCCTTTTGTTTTCTGTTTTTGAATTTACCAGCAAGTACTTATATTTTCCATCACTTTCAATTATACCATTCAATAAAGAAAATCAATGGATTGTAACCTTTAGTTTGTTTTTAGGCTAAATTGTAAAATATCCCCTAAATTTGAGCAAAAAAACAAATACCCCACCGAACTACAAAAATATCTGATTCCCCCCCAAACACTATGACTTCTTGAATATATCCCTTCCGTTAGATTTCCGATGAGAAATCAACGGAAAAATCTGAAAAAAAACATTCCCAATTCCTATCCTTTCCTCAACCAATCAAGGAAAACATGTTTACTAACAGAGAAAAGAGAGGAATTGAGGTGATTTTTAAGGGCATTTCTATCAATTTCTCGATGAAATCCTAATAGAAGGGACAAGTTCAAGATATCACATTATTTAGGGGGCAAAATGCCATTCCTGTCAAATATGATCTCAAGTCTGACTCTTAAACCTTGGCCCATTAGATAAATTCTGAAATTTATGTCTCTAAAATAAGAAAGCAACCTCCAAAAACAAGAAAAAGTTCTTTAAAGGGGCTACGATTATGTTTCAACTAGTGGAAATTGGAAGCACAATTAAGCCTGGTATGAAAGTTGTGGCACTGTAGCGACAAAGAAAAGAAAATTATGTAGGCAGCCAGATATGTATGCGTATGAGAAAAATTGAAAATACCACAAAAGGGCTCACCAGAGCTGAAATTATCAGTAGCAGCCTCAAGCTCTAGATAATCAAAATTCCTCCATGAA